TTAAACATATATATTGTAGGGTTTAGTATTGGTGCTTTTGCAAAACATGTCAAAGAGATTTTTGATAAGTAATTATCAGTAACATGGATATAATGACTAAAGGGGTAAAGGCAAATAACACAAGGTTCCTACAGCAAGTAGGCACGTCAGATTAACAGCTTTCAAAGACTTTGTTAATGGCACTAAAATTGAAGAAAACGAAAAACATGAACCAAAATCAATTACGCAGGATTAGGGAGAATTTTGTCCAAATATTTATTGCAACATAAAACATGAAATTTTGGTGACATTATTGTGGCATTAAGCAGCTTTTTTAAGGTGTCAATTATTTTGATTTTAATTAACATTTTCATTTTTAAGACTTTTGAAAGATTTATTCAAGACATTTATTTTTACCAATTTAGACCTTAAGAGTAATGAATTCTATGCCTTTTAAGACTTTTTAAGGATCCAAGGGAACCCTGTAATAAAACAGCGCTAGCAGTTTCGTAAGTTAAGAAAATTACATCACTTTACTGTAATGCAGCTTTTAAAACCAGGAAAAGACAACACCTATGGTATTACAATTTCTAAAATCTAAGACAATATCTAGTCTAATATCACAATTTTGATATAATGTCAATATGTTGCCCAGCCCTACAGTACATCCACAGCCAATCTTAAGGGCTAGTGCAGGAGGTATTAAGTCTTTTGTGTAGCAAGGGAGTAGTAAGGGTGTGAAAGTTACGGTGGTGTATAGCGTGTAACTTGGCAGACTTAAATGCAGCAGAACAGAAATGGTGCCCAGCACATAACATTTTTATTAACTGTAACCAAAATTTTTCCCAAACCTCAACCCTTTGTTTTAGTTTCCTAATCCTAACCATATCTTAATCACAGTTTATTTGCCTCTCCTTAACCATATCACAGTTGTCATGCAGATTTTGAAAAAAGCCTTGTCTTTTTTTTGTGGCCACATTTTTGATGAACATCGCTGTCAGCACAAAGCTCTGACTATTATATTGTTTGCTGCAAGTGCTTCACAATAAACGCCACCCTGTGTTCTGCCCATTGAATACATTCAATATGACACAGCAGCAGAAGGAAATGTTCAGTTTGTCTTATTGGTGCTTTAATACAGCTGCAGGAGAGTGAACAGTAAACAGCGAGGCTGTTATCAAAGAGATGAAATTAGAAACAGTAACACTGGATTACATTCATAAATTATTTCCTGTGAATCCATTATGCAGTTTGAAACCAGCGAGGGAATGATGTAATTACAGACTGTATATACATTGAATGGTTTTCGTTAAAAAAAATGCCAACCATAAATAGCATCAAAAATGGAGATTGATTTCATGACAATCTGAAGGATTATAACTGAAACACATAGCACGTCTCCTGTTACCTTAACCTTGACTCTGACAAACTGAAACCCAAAGTCTACATCCATACTGAGTTCTTACTGAGTTGTCCACTCCTCTTCATATTTCCCATTTCCTGAGTTTAAACTGATCCTCTTAAGTGCAATCAGACACAGGGACAAGCAGGCGAACACACACTCGTGGATACAAGCTCTTCTTGATTTGCTCCATTTTTTTTTTCTCAGTAGCTGACTGTCAACTGTCACTGGTTGCCCACAGGCCTCCAGCCCATTTCAGATAATCCCACCACTCAATAATCATCATCAGCTCAGCAGGCCAGTTCAGTGATTACACCAGTAGTGGAGGAAGATGAGAATATTCTGGAGGCTAATCTTCACTGACAGCCTCATCAGCACATCAGTCCCCCCAAACCATCAGCTCAGCAGCCATTTACTGTAATGCGCCGAAAACGCAGGGTGCCAGAATATATTTCAGAATTTGTGAGTTACTATTGGATTATCCTTGGGAACCAAAAATGTTGGGGTTTGTTTGGTTAAAAAAAATTTAAATACAAGGAAGTCCACTGAGCACCTTTGGTTAGAAACAGTCACTTGGTCATTCAGTTATGATACATCCATAGTCTTTGACTGATGGTCACTTTATAGTGGAGCTGCAGATTTGGGGAATTACTGTAGATGCTTTCTTCAACAAACATACTGAAAAAACATATCAAAGGTTTATGTGGTGTTACATATGAATGAGTTCAGTGTAAGATGTTTGCAATCGCTTGGTAATGAACATCTGACAAACCTACCTTTACCCTGCTAAATTGAAATGCACACATAAACTGACAAACAAGTCAATATAAGACAAAATATAAACATAAGCTGACTGCCAGAGAAAAGGCACATTACTAATACTGCTGCTACTACTAGCACGCAGCTCACCAAACAGTCCAGTGGAATCTGGTCCACATGGCAGTGTGCGTTCACTTCACTGCCCCCACCAGCTTTCTGACTGAAGCTCATTGTGTCAATAGTTTTGTCAAAAATATCCATTTATCGCTACATATCATCTCTGAATACTTGTAACAGTTTAAATATTCATTTTCTGCAGTTCAATACAATCAATACTACTTTCTTGCTGTCTCTTTCCTTCGACAGCGAGTTGACACACACATTGCTGCCGTGCCCCCACAGCCCTGCCTCCTCTCACTCACTCACAGGGCTGTCTTCTCGTCACTTGTCTCATTCGATCCTGTTGTTTATGGGCTTACCAAACAGTGTTTTGGTTTGGTTTGGTTTGGTTTGGTTTATTATAATTGCACTTAACTGTATTTTGAATGTGTGACGATCTCAGGGGCTTCTGAGCATGTGCACTATCGCAAGACAAATATTGTTTTCATTACTGTAAAAAAAAGTTTTAATTATTGTTAATGTTTACAACAGTCATTCTGCTGTCCTCTGCTACCAACCAGGAAAAGAAAAGTCATCATCATGTTCTAGCCTTGGTAAATTTATCATTTATTTAAAAAATTAAATTGTATGCCCTCAGTGTCAATTTATCCCTGTGGTATCAAAAATGATATCAAATGTCAACATTTTTAAGGTACTCATAATACTACATGTCAACAGTAAATAAAAGAATAAAGATAAATGACATGGTAGTCAAGATGAAATGTTCTGTTAAAAATAGAAACATGAATCCAGTCGAGCCAATTCAAATCTATGCTGTCAAACCTCTGATGTGTCTTGCTGTTCTACCAGAGCCAGGCAGAGGCCCACTACAAGGGGAACCGTCATGCTCGCAGGGTGAAGGGGATCGAGACATCCAAGACAGCTCGTCTCCAAGATGGCGACAAGCAGCACCCTCCCCCTACTGCTTCGCCCTCCCCACCAGGCCCCTCGCCATCTAGCCCTGAGCCTGATCCTAATAAGCAGGGTGAGCGTCACCTGTGACATATGATGTTACACACACACACACACACACACACAGAAATCTGTCACAGATGTACAACACAGCTGTTGTGTGAAACTAACCAGAGTGGTGCCCTGGTTTCCACTAAGTCATGTAGTGTTGATGTGGCTATATCAGAACTTGCAGTTCGACCTGCAAATCTAATGAGCCGACAATAATTAAAAATATATATTTTTAACAACCTGCATACATTTTTGAGCTACACCAATCCAAAGACTCAAGATTTCATCACACAGTCCAATACTGAGTTGAACTATGACAATAAAAGAAAACATAGACTCTGTAATAAAGATGGACGACATGACAACTCCTCAAGAGTGAGGCCAAAACATCTCAATCGTCCCCTGGTAGTTGGTTGCGGTATAGGTCATAAACCCCATTCCCTTCACATAAGCAGATGGGAAATGGGCCAAACTAAAAAAATCAAAGTACACCTCAAATAAATTTTTCCCAAGGATCATCATTTTAGCTCATTCTTATCACATTGATGTATGTTCAAGTGTTTGTTTTTCTGATAAGTTTGATGCCATAAAAAGGGGGTGTGACATCATGATTGACAGCTGTTAGTACCAATCGGTTTGCTCAGGATCAATGGCACTGCTCGCAATTGGTCAGATGGGTACATGGACAGGAACTCAATAGTGCTTGAAGGGTTAATTATATGGTTGACTATCCACAAATTATTCACTAACCTGAAATCTTTGTGCTGTTTACAGATGACACCCAATCCTGTCCCAACTCTAACAAATCACCTTTGACCCCTAGCCGCCTTCCAACACCCACACTGAGCTCTGCAGATGCAGAGTGTCCCCTCTTGCCTTCTGTTAGCACACCTTTGCCATCCTCTCCCTCCCCCACTGCGGCCCTCAGTACCCCCCCTGCAGATCCAGCAGCCGCTGGTCTTCCTGACACCCCGTCCCCGGCACCCAGCCCTTCTTCAGGAGAGTCAGAGGAAGAGAAAGCCAAGAAGCTTCTCTACTGTTCCCTGTGCAAAGTAGCAGTTAATTCCCTCTCACAACTGGAGGCACATAACAAAGGTAAATCCAACACGGCTTTGTCGCAGTGCACATTTTCATAAGTACGTCATGCCACCGAGTACACACAATCTTGAGAGAAATAAACCTCTACAAACAACAGCATTATGTATTATGCACTCTTAGAGGCAACTTCAGAAACCCTGAAGCATGGCTCTTTTAAGGCAATACTGCATTTGTTCTGCATCTGAGTTTGAAAAGCTAAACCTGGTGCATTAGTGCCACTTAGTGGTAATAACCACAGATTAATAACCGCATGCTTTTACTGGGTGTAAATGGATGGTAATAAAAACCTCACCTCTTACCACCTACTTTAAGTTCATTCTTGATCTTAGAAACTGCAGTTGAAAACATATTCTCAATATGTAAATTTAGTATTTAGTATGTAGTGTTGTAGTACTCAAGACTGGTCTTATAATCTCGAGACTATTTTCTGAAGGTCTCCATCTTGTCTCAAAATCAATTGCATTTTTACTCAGTCTTTTCTCAGCCTCAAACAAAGACGACTCAGGATTTGATTTTGAAACTGTTCAAGACCACAACTGCCGAGATATATTAGCTACACATACTGTGTCTTTGGCAATCAAAGAGGTGAATGAAGAGGAATCTTCATGCTTTTTTGTGGATGTTTTTATGGAGATGTGGATCTTTGAGATCAATTTAGGAGTGCCTACTGTTTGCACATTCCACATTTTACCATAAGTATGTCATGTAGTCTGGGATTCGCACTGGTTTGACTAAGTCTCAACCCCTTAAAGCCTTGGCTTTGTGTCGGTCTTGATACGCCCTGATCTTGGTCATGACTTGACCTTAGTTTAAGTGGTCTTGACTACAACGCTGGTATGCACTACTACACTGTAACATGGCCCCAGCTACCATTGTAGATTATACCTTTCTTTTCATTGTTTCCAGGTACCAAACACAAAACCATTCTGGAGGCTAGAAGTGGACTGGGACCCATTAAAGCATACCCACGTCTGGGTCCTAAACCCAGCCCAGAGCAGGGAGGGGAGCTGTCTTCTGACCCCAACACTCAGGAACGCACCTTCCACTGTGAGATCTGCAACGTCAGAGTCAACTCTGAGCTGCAGCTGAAACAGGTAAGAAAACCCACACAAAGATCCAAAGACCCTGAGTGAGCCTAGTCTTTAAGCTATCATGAAATCTAATATCTGTTCTTTCATAATTTATTGTTTCAGCATATATCTAGCCGTAGGCATCGGGATGGTGTTGCGGGAAAACCCAATCCTCTTCTTAGTCGGCACAAGAAGCGCACAGACTTCATGGTACAAATCTTACCTACATATTCCATATTTCTCAATTCTCCCCTATATAACCAGTATCGCTTAGGTTTTAGGAAAACTTGCATGTTTCAATAAACTCTTCTATTTTCCCCTGACTTTCTCAAAGGAACTTCCAAAAACTCTGGGAGCTGGACTTTTACCAAATCCTCTGGCTGTTGCCGCAGCGATGGCAGCCGCAGCCTCCTCCAATCAGCTGGCATTACGTGCTCCTTGCCCGACCTCCCACCCTCATCCCCATCACCACCTCCTACAGGGAACACCCCTCAGCCTGCTGAGGCCCGCCCCAGGCCCCATCCGCACCACACACGGGCCGATCCTCTTCACTCCTTACTGACGGTGAGAGAATGGGGACGAATCAGGAAGAAGCACACTGTGAAGTGGAGGCCTGCAACCACGTGCCATCAAGAGCCAGCTGGTGAGGCTCCAGCTGCTGTATCATTAGAATAAGAACAGTGAACATAAATATGACTCTTCATGGTGCATACTGTGGTTGCAGACCACTGCTGTTACGTTAACAGGGAGAACCAGAGTAACTGACGCCTCTCAGACATTTCAAAGAGACTGTATGTTTCCATCCTCCCCAGTTTCCCTTCATCAGTCAACTATCTGCCAATCATCGAGTAGACTCCGCAGATAGTTTCAAGAGGAACTTATAAACAAGTTTCTATCGAGCATGGACTTCTTGAGCATCCTCCAAACTGCAACTGACTGATTATCTTCATCTAACATATGGTCCACTGTATCTGACTCAAAACCCTACCTCTCTTATGATTTTAATGTTCATCTCTGCAAGAATACATTACATATCTAAAGCATCAATGTTATCAAAAACACGCCCGCTGGGTTAGATATAGTAGTTGCCTCTGATATTAGCTGGTATCATAATGTAGCTGTCACAGTATAGTGGATATACCACTGTAAAGTTCTGTTTTTGTGGCCTATAAAGAGAAAAAGGTATGGACAATTTCCGTACCATTTCTGCAGTTACTGGCAAACATTTCTCTGTACTGTATGTCTACATTTTCACAGCTGGCCTAAATGGTCTATATTTACTTATGTGGGACAGAAAGGGGAAGTCACAGCAAAAGGTAGACATTTACATTGAGTCTTAAAACTGAACTGATGTGTACGTCACATTAACGGTTTGGCAAAGATTTACTTGTGAAGAAGGAATCTGAACTGGTACACTATGCAGCTATAAGTGTTTATTCTACCAGTGTGTGTAAAATGCAGTAAGGTTGGAGAAAAAGGACACAACGTGAGGAAAAACCCAGGCTGTTAGTGTCTTTAGTGAAGGTCAAGATGTACTGACTTCAGTTAAATAGTTCCCATGATGATGTTCTCCCTGAATGGCCACTGACAACAGCCACTGTGCGTTAGTCCCACAAAGCACACAAGTATAAATCTGTGGTGAAATGTCTCCATTTAAATGGCTTAAATGCATTTAAAATTACGGTCTATCTTTTTTTCTTTAATCTGCACCTCACTGTGCACACAGAAAAGTTTTAGTGTCTTAATTAATAGTTTCAACACTGTGAGCACAGCAGGACAATGATTGAGTTATGAATTTAGTGGCAGGTCTTTGCATTATGTGCACATTTAAATATCAGACAACATTTTCAAACAGTCCCATACAAGGGAGTGTGGAAGACAGTGGGATGAAAGACACCAGCAATATGTTACAGAAGGAAAAGGACCACATACACAGATGAGTAGATGTATGCAAAAAACAACATTTTTGGTAGTATTATAGGCTTGTAGTGGGATAAAAATGTTTAGTTTGTCTGCTCTGCCTCGTGTGCTCCGAACCCCACATGGCCCCTGACTATCCCTGTGAAACTGTCATGATGGCTTGTGAAACATTAGAGGGAAGCTTTAGGAAACGGAAACTGTAGCAATACTTTAAGCACTCCTGCTTACTTTTCTTGTTAACTGCAATAAAAAAGACAATGTCTACAAATGTATGAATTGTTATTTAGGAGAAGTGTATTGAAACATTACTGTAAATGCAGATTATTTAAAAATAATGAGAAAGGGTACATGTTGGGGCTTCCTCATTGTTAAATTAAAATCAAAATTATATATAAAATCATTAAACTGAATTTATGGTTGTAAGCAATGTTGATTGGTGATTTTTTCTTCTTCTTTTTTTCCAAATGTAATGAAATATGACAATAACAATAAAACACAAATGCATTTGGTTGTACAAGTAGTCTAGTATTGTAAGAATCTGAGTAATATTGCCATGTTCTTTTCAGTACAGTGCAATATTGTTAAGTGACTAACACAACAGATACGCCAGAGCATATCCACATTTTGACTTTCAAACTATTCATAATCAGAAGCTGATTAGGTTTTGTACAGGTTAGAGTATTGTGCAAGCAAACATTAAGATATATATATATGTGGGGGAACTTAAATGAAAAAAAAGAGGATGCACATAAGACAACATGCTAATAGGAAGCCTGACAATCAGAGGATGAGATCACTGCAGAGAATGACATACCCTACATATATATAAAAGGTCTGGTGGAAGTCATTAACTTATAATATACTTATAATATGTTCGTTCAGTGATGGAGAGGAGGTGTATGAATTCAGCTTAAGTAGAACAACCTTCTGTATTGTTTTCTTCAGTGGAGTTTCTGTGGTTGCCATGGTCAATAGCCTTGCTTGTTCACAAAAAAGCCGACCTCACTCCTTAATACTTCATCGTCAGCCACCTCCAAAGCACGGCCGACAATGAAAACATTTGAGGTGGTGGCAGGCAACCACTCACTGACTAAAAGCCCTTTTACAAATGTGTTGACCTTTATTCTGATTCCTGTTAGTTGACAGAATGCTGATGAACCACACAAACCAAACAGACGATGACGTCTTTTCCTGCTACAGCCCCTCAGTCATCCGCTACTGATACTTTGCTGTGCTATGGGGATGTGCTGGCACCGTGAACGATGGGGAACCTGATGACCATTCTAGCCTTCGCCTCAGACCCACGTCTGAGGACTCGCTTTGATGTGCTCATCGTCAACCTGGCTGTGGCTGATCTCCTGTACTGCACCATACTGCAGCCCATATCAGTTGACTCCTATCTACACCTCAGATGGCGCAGTGGTCAGCTCTGGTGTAGCATCTTCAGCCTGCTCCTCTTCCTCTTCAACTCTTTCTGGTAGCAGTGAGCCGATATCTCCTAGTGGTAAAAAGGACTGTGTTTGACCATGTCATCTTTGACTGTGGTCTAATTTTACTCCTGATCTCAGTGTGGGCATTAAGCCTGGCCAACTTTGGACCACTCTGGCCTGTTTACGTTTGTGCCACAGGTGTGTACATGCAGCATCCATCGAACCAGGGGACGCATATACAGCACCATTCTGGTTTTGTACCTCTTCTTCAGGCTGGGCTGTGTTGGCAGATTCTACCTCCACATTCACAGACAAGTCTAGATAGATGCTACAGTCACTAGTGCTCCGAGAGAAATAAGCTTTTTCAGCACAACGGATCAATGACAGTGGTATAGAGAGTGGTATAGCAAATGTATGTAGCAGTTCAATACGCAGTCAGGCGGATCTAGCCCAAAACACAGTTGAGAAATAATGTTCATAAGGGAACCAAACTGCAAAGCATAGCACTGAGGGTAAATAAATGTTTTGTGGATGTCAGCAATTAGGACATGTAAAGTACCTTAGTTAGGTCATTTTTAAAAAATGTGAGGCTTGTATTATTATACACAAAAGTCAAGATGCAAAAATTGAAGTCCACACTTCTGACGTGCACAATCACCAGCAATTTCAGACACCCTGACCCCTGAACGCTCTTCAGATTTATATACTTGTCCTGCATTTGCAGTTTAAGAAACTACAGCAGGCACATTACTGCCACTCGGTGGAGAGAATTGCAGGTTTACTAAATGATACCAGTAGCTGGGGATGTGCACTGATACAACAAACCACACCAAACATACCCTCTAATCTCAGCTTGAATTAACTGATAACACCTACAACTTAAGGTTTTGTTTCCTGCTGTTTTTAACACCCACACAGTAACATGGCTACAGTAACAGCCTGTGTTATATCCTTCTTTTCATTCTTCCTGTTCACTTTAAACATACTGTAACACATCGAGAGGCTCAGAGGAGAATGACATAGAAAAATAACAATGCCCATACGCTCAGGAACACACCTTCCATTGTGAGAGCTGCAAAACAGGAGTCAACTCACAAAGACATAGGGAAATAATTTCTGAGGGATCTCTATATCCGCCTTCGTCCTTTCCGTTACTTAATTACAAATTTTAGAGAAGTTTTAAAGAGACTTTTAATGCTTTCACATTGACCACTTCCCATTCATCATTTAACTACCTGCAAATAACTAGACTTTGGAGATTGTTTGAAAAGGAACTAATGAAGCATGGACCCTCTCGTGCATCCTCCAATCTGCAACACATGACACTGTATCTGACTCAAACAACTGCAACTCAGTCTTCATGTTTTAACGTTAATTTCTGTCATAGTTTATTTCATATGCAAAGCATCAGTGCCAACAAAAACATGCCTACTAGGTTACCCCTGCATTTAGCCACACTTGAACTCTGTTCTTGTGGCCTAAAGCACATGAGTCACTGACAATTTTGGTGCTGCATTTCCAGTATGTTTATATTTTCACTCTTACAGAATGATCTATATTTACCCCTGTGTGACAGAAACAGGAAGTCTATGTGCAGCAGAAAAAGGGTCAAATTCTTAAAGCATGTATTCTCATGTGCTTATCACTGATTCAGCATTGTATAGTTGACTGAGGAAGTAAAGGTCAGTGGTGTACTACACCGATATCAATATTTGCCCTCACTGCCTATGGAAAATACAGCAACTGTGAACAATAATAATTTAAGAGAAATCATGACAGCAAGTAACATACCAAGGTACTTTAGTTTGTTCAGTGTAATTTCAATTAATGTGTATTGTAAGTGTCACAACTCAAATGGTTTCCCTGATGACTATTTAGATTATTTCCCAAATGATCACTGACATAAACCATGTAACAAGCACAGTAATAAAACAACTGAGTGTCTCTGTATTGAATTGTCTATATGGAAATTATTTAAATATATAAAATGGTGAGCAAGGTTTTCTCAACTGCACCATACTGCACAGTAGAACAAAGAGGTTTCAGTGTCTTACAGGAGCAGATTCAACAGCACAGCAGGACAATATACTGCATGATAATAACATGACAACAGCAGTATGAACATTTTTGCATGCAAGCTCTCAGTCCCATACAATGAATGTAGAAACACTGTTAGTAAAAACGTCAGTGATGTTACAGAAGTACTCTGCCTGATACCGGCCTAACACACCTAACCACAATAACCAACATGTTTCGCTCTCATAAATGAGTCACAACCATTGTTTAGTTTTCATATGATGTTCTTGTAGATTCTTTTTCCAATGTAACTCATATATCACTAATTATTTTTGCTCTACATGTACTCCAATTTTGCAATACACATGTTAATCATAGTAATGATCAACACAGCTGATCTCATGAGGAGAAGCCCTGTTCTGTTTGCACAGTCCCTTGTGATAAATGACTTACATCCTCCAGTATGCAGACATAACTTTTGGAATAAAACATATTTCACTAATGTGATCATTTTTTTCCACATTCAAATATTCCATTTGAAAAAAACACAGTACTTTCAGAAATGCACAAGATTTCTCTTCCCTAATTTAGACAAGAAATGGAAAAACCCTACCTCACACTTCATTTGTGTAGAGGGCACTTAAGCAACACAGAGGATGCACATAAAATGTAACACCAGCAGGAAGCCAGACATTTATCGCACCAGATCACTGCAGAGAATGACGCAGCTACACATCAACAATTAGGAAGAGTTGGCAGAAATCTTAAGCTTTAAGGTAAGAGATTCACAAGTGTTTTGTTTTAAAATAAGGGCTTTTATGTGCCTTACAAATTGAAATTCTAATGAAATGATAAATTTATCTTAAATCTATCAGAGGTTCTTTTGATTGTATGTTTTAATGTTAAATACTGGCTTTACTGTTTACATTATTTCATTGAGAGTCAAAATCTATATACAGAATTCACCTCAGTGATGTAAATATAAATGAAGTTAAAAGAGTTCAATTGATTATCAAATCATTTCAAATTTTTTTTAGTAACTGTTCAAACAAGGGAAGTCTTTTGAGATCATACTGTCTACACAACCTGCTTTTATTATGTTCTTTCCTTATTTGCAATTATTTATAATGACTAATATTAAGGAATTATTTGTGCCTGCTAGACAACATATTTCAGACTACTAGAGCCATAGCTGTGCACATATCAAACATACAAGCAGTGTTTGGGATTAACTAGTAACTAAATTATGGAATAAATGAAATTGCAGTCTGTTACAAATACTGAGAAAAAAATGTGTAATTAAATTATAATTGCCAATTAAAATGTTGGTGATTACAAAGTGGTTACATCTATCATCATCTGTTCTTTCCAGTGAAAAGTTAATGAATTAGGCTAATTAATACAACATTTGTGATTGAAATCGCATTTGATTATCCTAAAACTGCAGAAAAGCCCTTAAAAATGTTCCTACACTTAAAACTGCAAACACAGCCCTCTGTTTAGGCCAGGCCTTTTTTCAAAAGAAAGTGTTGAACTACCTAGACCATGTGTGACTTCCCTTTTCATCTGTGGCAATACTGACACCACAAAGAGGGTGGGGAGGACTGGCTCTCTGTCTGAGTTTAACTTTCCGTGAGCACATCACAAAGATGCTAACCGATATTCTGATTCCTGTTAGTTGACAGAATGCTGATGAACCACACAAACCAAACAGACGATGACGTCTTTTCCTGCTACAGTCCTTCAGTCGTCGGCTACCGGTACTTTGCTGTGCTGTGGGGATGTGCTGTCACCATCACTGGTACGACTGGGAACCTGATGACCATTCTAGCCTTCGCCTTAGACCCACGTCTGAGGACTCGCTTCAATGTGCTCATCGTCAACCTGGCTGTGGCTGATCTCCTGTACTGCACCATACTGCAGCCCATATCAGTTGACAACTATCTACACCTGAGATGGCGCAGTGGTCAGCTCTGGTGCAGCATCTTCGGCCTGCTCCTCTTCCTCTCAAACTCTGTCTCCATTATCACCCTGTGTCTGGTAGCAGTGAGCCGATATCTCCTGGTGGCAAAAAGGGCTGTGTTTGACCGTGTCTTCTCCAAGCGTGGTCTAATTTTACTCCTGATCTCAGCGTGGGCACTGGGCCTGGCCAGCTTTGGACCACTCTGGCCTGTTTACACGTTTGTGCCACAGGTGTGCACATGCAGCTTCCACAGGACTAGGGGTCGTCCCTACACCACCATTCTTCTTTTTTTCTACTTTTTTATCGGCCTGGGCTGTGTTGGCGCATTCTACCTTCTTATATACAGACGTGTCCAGATTGCCTCAAAAGCTCTGCTCCGCTACAGGCTCAGCCGCCGATCCTCCAGAAAGAAACCAGCTTCTTCAGCTCAAGGGACAGATGACAGCGGTGTAGAGAGTGGCATGGCAAAGACATGTAGCTGTGAGGTGAGCAGCCAAGCAGATCCAGTCCAAAGTACAGACGAGAGCACCTGTGAAAAATCCTCCAAATCTGCCCAGGGCTCTGCCATGGCTTTAAATTCATCAGCAACCAAGTCTCCCTCTGTTACCACCTCAACGTCACCTTCATCCCCACCTGCTCCAACTACTGCAGCACAGTCCTCCCACTCAGCAACTTCAGGAGAGGATGACGAATTTAAGCGTGTGACACGCATGTGCTTCACTGTTTTCCTGTGTTTCGTGTTCTGCTTCGTCCCCTTCCTGCTGCTCAACATCGCCGACAAACATAACCGCGCCCCACAGGTACTGCACATGTTCTGTGCAAACCTCACCTGGCTCAACAGCTGCATCAATCCCATACTCTATGCTGTCATGAATCGACAGTTTCGACAGGCCTACCATGTGCTGCTCAGCAGGGCTGCTGCACCATTCACCTGCCTCTGGACTTGGCGTTAGCTTGGAGATCCTAAGCTCCTAAACTCCTAGGGCTTAAACCTGTCTGATGTTTCTCCTAATATAAACTCAGTGTGACATTATTGTCACGGAATACAACACAGACACATTTAAGTGTACACTGAGCCAACGTAAAGTTTTAAGTTGCTTTTCTGTATTAGATTTATGTTGCATTACCAACATTCCAGACTGCTTCATTTCCTTCACAACCTTAACCCTGATGTTTGCTTTCACAGTGTGTATGATGCATGTACAAGACTGCATTATGTATTTATATTATGTATATAATAAATCATACTTTGTATACAAATCCACAGTTGCGTACAGAATGTTGAATTAGCCAATACATCATCACCACTTTCTAAATGTCTGTTACATCATTTGAGAAACGATCAGTGTTACAAAATCAGCACAGGACATTCCTGTCTGACACAACATGCCTTATTTCAGTAAATCAGGAACTTATGACTGTGTCTCCCCTCTGTTTCACTACTTACAGTACATGCTGATAGTGCATGACTAATGATAAAAAAGTGTTAAAGTGGGTGGAGTGTACTTGCATATGCATGTTTGAGTTGTGTCAAGGCATTAATTTAATGAGGATGCTGACAAAGGCAAGCAGTATTCATAGACATGTCCACACTCTACTAACAGTCACAAGATTGCAATTTGCCTTACAAGAAGACTGACACAAGAGACCCCCAAGGCTATTGTTGGGAATAGAATGATGTTATGTGTTTTACTATAAGTTGTGTTTCACTATATAAGTTTTAGATGTGTGAACAATGAGAATACTGAGATGATTTCAGCTGATCTGAATGTGTTTGCTTTGCAGAAGTGGAGAAGTACAGGAGAGGAAGAGACATGAAGTCTGAGGAGCACATACCGCAATGCTTAGATAATTAGTTTCATATATGGTAAAAAGAATAGAAAGTGATATACAGATAGTAAGGTACAGCACGTGTAGGGAGTTGTGTTGTTCTCTTGTCTTTCAAAACAGGAACCACGCCCCCATCGCCAGCGGGAAGGAGTCAGATTAACACGGGGCAGGGGCGTGGTGTGGTGAAGGAGGAAGTGGAACTGCCAATGAGAAGAGGACAACGCCTTGCGTGCACAATGACACTCTGTTACGCTCAAATATACTGGGTCAGGGAAAGGACAGGAGGTCAGACTTCGTGAACTGACACACCTTTGTTGTTCGTCAGGGACGTGAAGTTGAGACCCAGAGCTCTGTAATTTTATTCCTTTACTGCTTAATAAACTACATTACCTGAGACCGAATATCTTCTCCTATTGCTTCATTAAAGAACACGCAGGACTGAGCTCACACATAGCACATTGGAGAGTAGGATGAGACTCTTAGTCCATCACTATAATGCTTGTTACACCCTAGACAATTCTTGGTTGGATGAAAAATGGAAAACCAACACTTCTGTTTCTGACCCTCCACAGAAGCCATTGTTGTCAAACACACTGAGACACCTCCCTGGCCCCTGGACCTAAAGCTCAGTCATATTCAACTTTGATCTCGCTATGTGCAACCAACAAGAGTAGAGGTGTTTCTAACCTGAAAGCAATGGCAAAACACACCATCTTAAAATACTCAGACAAACAAACAATGGCCCTTTTTTTTTGCTAGTGCCTGCCACATGTGGGTGACATTAAACTAATTTATCCCCTGCTTCAACACTGTGCTCTGCACCTCACTAGGCTGAGGGCACACTTCATACCTCTGACCATGAGTATGTGGCCTTACAGACCCTACAAGTGCGGCAAAGAATTTTAATTATGGCCTGTGGATGGCACTGTGTTCATTTATTATTCTGTCATTTACTGGTTGGTAAGTGAAAATAAATGATGTGACTTTTGTGGCACTTTGACCCAAGAAGGATCACCAAAACATGCTAGCTCTCAACATTACACCAGATTTTAAGAGGGTCCATGTCATTGGTTCGACAGCCCATTGGTTCGACATCCCATTAGTCCGACTGTCCGCGGTGCTGAACGGCTCGCGGCGGGCGTATGGTGCGCCGCGACCGGCTTGAGGCGGAGCAGGCTCACGGCTTATGAGTTTGTCACTTTCTTTTTCATTTTAACCCACACCATGATCTTTTCCTGACCCTAACCAAGTGTTTTTTTTGTGCCTAAACCTAACCAGACCTTAACCACAGGACATCATGATGATTTCAGAACGGACTTCGGAACAATGAGTTTAATATGGTCGGAACAATGGGATGTCGAACCAATGGGCAGCTCCCATTTTAAGAGACACTCTGATAGCAGGCTAGCCTTTTTAAAACCTTAGTTAAAATGAAAAGATAGTTAGCCATTTTCAGTCTTTTGATAAAAGTAGGACTCGTGGAATTGATATTTTGATAGATAAATAAAAACAATGCTGCTCTGGCCACTAGGGATAAACATAAAAACACTGGCATATAAAACTTACTGATATTATCTTAGCTACAGATGCATTTAAGATACTATATCAACGGCTAATAACCAAAGCTAACTGTTAGCTCAATTGACAAGCTAGCAACTTAGCCTAATTTATACGGCCAAATAGGACATAGCAACGTTTAGAGTCGTTTCTAGCCACTTGACAAAAACAAGTTTCGACTACTTACTGACCTTTGAGATGTTGTTCAGTCGATGTTGAGATGTTGTGTTGTGTTGTCTGTCCAACTCCTGACAAAAATATCTTTAGCTTGCTAACTTTAGCACCCTGTGTATCGTCGTCAGCTAGCTACATCATGCTAAGCGGGAGGCTAGCTGTTTACTGACACAGCTGTTCGTTGATAAAGTGTAGAAACATTAAAAAAAAAAAAAAGTCAAAAAGATAAAACTACTTTAAAAGTTGTACGATAACCTGAAATCTCAGTAGAGCCACATAATTTGGTTTAACTTGGTTTAAGTGTTTTACAATAAAGATTGGTGCTGGAGTTCTGCAGCCTGAAATGGGCTGTAAATCTGCATCACAAAAAAGCTAATAAATAAACTACTTCTCATATTAGTTAATTTATAACATTTCAATTATCAATAAACAGATCATAAAGTCAGTAATGTCCCTTTTATTGGTAAGAACATTTTATGTTGATTTAAATGGGCAGGTTAATATAAAAACATACAACTTAAACAGAAGAAGTGCCATGTGTCAGTACAATTTATCACAAGCAGAAGGCAGCAACAACCAAGTACCACAAAAGGACTTATAACAGACATTAAACAATAAATTATGTGCAGTGCAGTCTATGCCATGTACTCTTTAATACCTCATTCAAACCTTTCCCACCCTGCCTGGGGCAGTTATGAGTGCAGCTAATTCAATTCTATCTTTGTCTTTCAATCACTGAATCTTTATCTACACTGGTACAACATGATACGGAAATTATAGAGGTTATATTCTCCTGATTTCAAAGTGCATACCTCATTCAAATGATTTCAAAAGCTATTCTTAAATACTGACTACCAGGACTAGCAGAGGTACTGTCAAGTATTTGATCCAAACTATTATGTTCATAGTGGAATTGCTAAGTATGCTTCAGTTTCACGACAGAGGTGTTTCAATGTAAGTGGCTAAAAGTAAAGATGACGATGAATGATAGAGTGGTCTGTTTAAATATACACAGGCTTATTGGAAAATACTTCCACAGGACTGTGGGGGCAGGCAATTAAATCCTGAGAGACTGAAATCAGAGAGGCCCGGCTCATCTTCCAAGATGTCAGAGTCAATGAAGAGGTTGGGGTTGTTGAGAAACATCTGTAAATCGTTCTCTGTGGCTACAACAGAGCCGGACAGCATGGGATCAGGGTGATACATCTCTAGAGGTGACTGCAGGGCATGAGGACTCCCGTCTTGTTCTGCAAGCAGAGAAAGGGAGATGAGAGAGAGATTATTTCTGTTGTCATGGCTGTGTTGTTTATTTCCGGTACTGCTTTTGCAAACAATCGATGAGCTAGGCAACCCCAAAAAAGACAACAGAAAGCTGAGACTGATGCTGTAGGAATGTACAGATTGGCATGCAGTGCTGGTACTTCTCAGCTCAAGTTATTCAACTTTTCAGACATGGTTCATTGGTTTATATTTGATGCTTCCATTTTCTTTTCAGTTTGTTTAACTGGTTTAATAGCTCAATTTAAAGAAGTTACTACATTTTGCAAGCCATAAAGAAATAGTTTAGCATGCATACTTGTCCATTAAATATAAGCAAACAGCTGGTTAGCTTCAGCTTAGCTTAGGTTGAGGTCTGCAAATGGGTAAATAGCTGCCCCGCTTGCCAAATAGTAAAAAAAAAAGAAAACCAACACACCTTAAGCTGACCGAACACAACAACTATTTCTTGGTTTTGAGAAGTTGCAAGGTGACAACAGGAGACTCCAGGAAGTTACTGGTTGTTGCCAAGACACAGCCTGGCACATAAGAGGTGACTGTTGCTTTTTTATTGATTTAATAAAGGAAATATAATTTGGGTACTGGTAGGTGGATTTTGTTACCATTTGAAAAAGTTTTCCAATGGACTGAAATGTAATCACTGAGATGGAATGAAATCGCTACCACAATTACTCGTTGTGATAATAATGATTACAAATAATATTAATTTAACCATATTATTTTTGATTTCATGATTGATCATTATGTATGGTATTATTCAACCTATGACCATGTCTGTTAATAGATTTTAATATTTACACCAAGCAAAGTGTTAAGTATTCAAGCATCAGATGGTAGACTCAAACAGCTATAAAAGATTAAATGATGTGTTAGTAACAGTTCTGCTCCAACCAATCAGCTCCACACCTGTTAGATGTTATGTTCAGTAGAGCAGACTACTGTACATGTGCATGCAATAGAAGCAGCCCACAGCCATGCACAATATAAATCAAAAGTTCAACAATTTCATAGCTGTCGCCTGACATCTATCCAGACATCATCTTCCCCACTGATTTTACGACATCGTGAGGCCAAAACAGAGAGGGCAACACAGAGCTCTGTGACAAAAGGGAGGGCGATTTGTCGGACGAGGTTTGCAGCTGGATGGGACAGCAAGGAGAGCCATGACTCACCAGCTGCCTCTCCACACAGGCCATTCATTGGCTCCAGGCCTTCACCCTGTGCCATGTCAGAAGACATGGGTGACCTAGCCTCCAGTGTGTTCCTACATGACCAATGACAAACAGTCATTACAACCAGTTGCTCATGACATAATAAAGGGCGTGGGTACACTACCTCTTAGATAAAGTAAGTGCATTTTTAGTCTCTAGTTTTTGTTTCTGTATAAATAGCACATTCAGAATATAAAGAACCATTAAGTGAATAATATACTTACTCCTTTGAAACAAACATCAGTTTGGTTTTGATGTACTTGATGTAAGGACTGTCACCTGAAAGAGAATGAGTTTAGATATTAATGTGTCGTATTAATTCCCAACTCTATCAATAAATATAATGTAGTTGTGCCTGTGATTATTGCAAGAAAAACACCATTCAAATGGCATTAAAGCTGGGGTAGACAGTTTTATTTTGGTGTCTCTGGGCAAATCCCATAATAAACTTTAAGCATACTGTAATTCAAGTGGACTGAGGAAAAACTACACTTCTGCAACTAAGCTTGGAGGTGTTTTCATGCTTTAGAAAATCTAGCCTGTGACGAGAGACTTTGGCCAATTACAGGTCCTTTCAGAGAGAGAGTGTTACTATTGGTGGTATTATAAATACAGATGCATGTGCACAACCCCTTGGTTAAAGCCTGATTTATTGGTGGGCAGTCCTGCAGAGAAAGTTGTTACTCCAGCACTGGCAACAACTGCCCACACTGCAAAGCAACCCAAAAAAGGAAGACAGACATATCAAAAGAGAATCTGACAAACAAAATAAACAGGTCTCAATATCAAGAAAGTGTTTCAGAGATGGAGAGAGAATGTTGCTAATAGTTTAGCCTTCTTCTAACTGAAACCAATGGCTCACAGCTGTGACTTCCTGTTTGCATTTAAGGAGCAAACATAAGCTAGAACCTCAGATCACAGTGTGTCCTCTGCCCCACTCCCCGCCACTACAGACCACCTCGCCAGGCGAGGTGAGCAGTCACAGCAACCCGAATCCAGCCAGTGCAAACCCCAGCGGCAGGGGACCGGACAGCCCTGACACCCCGCCAGATCAGCAAACTTTCTGCTGCCATCACAAAAATTAGACCCGGCACTGACGCTGGCCACCAGCCCGCTGCAACACCTGGTGCTAGGGGGTTTGCACTGGACAAATTTGAGCCGCTACAGCTGCCAACCGCAGGTCCATTCCATAGCTGCTGCCTGCTCTCTCCCCAGCAAAGCAGTCCACAGTGGGTGGGGAGAGGAGCGGAGGGACAGTAAGGTGCTATCAAATTCTTGTCTCATTTTTTTGGTCTGATAAAAAGAGAGAGAGCGGGTCAAGGAGGGGCCAGGCTAGTGTACTGCACGCCGCTCTGCAATGAAATAAGATCAAATAAATCAGTGTTTTTCTTTTCTTTTATATTAGACAAGGTAAGGTTTGTTTCAGCTGATATAAGGCACGTCACCAATGACATCTGGTGACGCTTCTGAAGAAGACGGAAGACATTTGTCGAAACATGTCAAGGTAAAACAAACTTTATCTTGTCTGATATAAAAGAAAAGAAAAACACTAATGCAACACTTAGAGAGAATGAACTTCTATGGATCAAATAAATCAATCAAACACTGGGTTACTGTATGAAGCATGTGCATGTGCCAGTGGTCCTCTTTTGGGAGAGGCTTAGGACAGAGAGGGGAGAGCTGCAGGATGAGGGTGTATTCCCAAATTTTGCTGTTTTTTTTTTTGTTTGTTTGTTTGTTTTTTTGTTTGCTTTTGGGGTTTTTTTTGCCTTTTTCAGAGTTCTGCCTACCCCAGCTTTAAGAAAAACAGCAAATGACATGTAGGTTGAGTCTTTTGGCAAATTTGTTTTCCATAAATATTTAAGTGGCAAGCAAGAAGTATAAGCAAACGTGACGCGCTTACTTCCAGTCTTGTCTGAGTAGTACTTCCCAAAAGCCTCGTCTTTAGGGGTGTTGGGATATAGGTAGAGCAGAGGATTTTCTGGGATATTTTCAGCTTCTAAGATCTGGAAATTCCTGATGATTTCACTGAAGGGGATCTGGATAAGGTCAACTTTGGTGAAGGGCTGGACTGTCTTTACGTCAGGCTCACCTACAATAGGCAGAGGATGATTAAAAAAAAGGGAAGCTTGTTAACATTTGTGTGCCATGTAACAATTTCAAAATCTTTTTTCAAAGTCATTATGAAATAAAAATATCTCACCAGTTATGGTGGTTTCCACCCAGGAGAAGGTGATTCCTCCGATGATGCTTTCACTGAAGCGCAACAAGAACGTGCCTCTCTGTTTTTTCTTCAGGAGAGACTTCTCTTTGCCTTTGCTCACAAAACCCATGATGAGACTACAACATAGATAAAAAGTTGTATATAAAATGAGAAACGTCATTTCCCAGGAATAAAGGCATGAGCTAAACTTCCCTGTATTAGACTAAAACATACCCATCCCTCCACAGATCTTCAAGGTATGTTTTCACCATCACCAAGATGCCATCAAACCACACCCAGAAAGTGTCAGGAGGATTTTCCTGTGACAAAAAGGTCATCAATTCACACCTACAGTGTATTCTTAAACAATAAACAAATAAGACAGAGAATGTAGGGCCACACAAGCAGCTCTTTGAGGCTGTAATACTCATTGTAATCTTTACAATGAGCCTAACACAATACGATTTAAGTTATGGTGCACAGCTTGTTTTTGATCCTCATCAGTCATAGTGAATTACATGTAAAAATGGTCCTGGTTGATATATAAGTTGCTGTCTGCAAACATGGTCACAATGACTATGTTAACATGCTGATGTTTAGTAAGGTTTATCATGTTTGTTACCTTAGTTTGTTAGGTAGCCAACATGCACATTAGCACTAAACGCAAATACATGATGGGAATGTCATTAATTTTGCAGGTATTTGCCCATAAACCCAAATAATGAAAATAAAACTGTACTTTTGACTTGGGTTTAAGACAAGAGGAAAAATCAGGGGATCATTACAGTAACAACAATTCATCTCTACAGAATACTTGACAGGAATGTCTGCACCAAAAGTCATGACAATCAATCAAGTAGCTCTCAACTTTTCACTTGCAACAAACCAGACTTCATGGTGACCACAGAGGGAAAAGTCAAGGGTTCACTGAAGTCAAGGTATTTCGAGTCAGGGGGTTGGGGTTAAGGATAATTCCTCCAGCCATGTTGAAAAATAATTTCTGGGAAATAAGATTCTTACCTTGCTAAATTTTGACCAGGTGACTTTGCAGGTGTCGTAGCTCTGCTGCTTTCCTGGTGGAATAGAAATAAATTATGCATTGTAAAACTCTTACCTACTTGCATAATCTACGATTAAAATGCATACAAGCCATGAAGGATGTTGAATTATAGTTTGCAATACGTTACAGTGCACAAGTCCTGCTGGATGTCATCATAATTCCAATCCAACACCATCACTTTTCCACAAGAGACATACAACGGTAGTGGGTATACATTAAACAGCTGTTGTGAGAGTGAAATCACACCTTTGAGCTTTTTAGCTCGACTCTAATGTGTCTTCTTTCACATCTAGTGTTTCCTCTAAATGATACAATCTGAATAAAGGAATTCTTAAGTTTTTGGGAATCCTTTGTTTGATCACGAGAGAGGATGGGACCATTTACTACCTCCCCTAATCATTAAGTGCTATATCGTAGGCAACTGAACTTGCTTGAGTTTCTAGAAGATGTTTCACCTCTCATCCAAGAGGCTTTTTTAGTTCTAACGGACTGGTGTGGAGTCGCAGGCTTTAAACCCTGTGTGGATGTGGATTCTTACAGAGTTGTTAAGGTCACACTTGAGTTGTTGACCCACCCGGCCATCATGTGTTTAGAATTAAGCGACTCTGCACCACAGTGTTAGAACTGAAGAGGCCTCTTGGATGACAGGTGAAATGTCTTCAAGAAACTCAAGCAAGACCAGCTGCCTACGATACAGCACTTAGGATTACCATGACCTGGATGACTGAGAATCTTCACCAATATCTCCCCTAATGGTCAGGGTTGGGTACGGTCTGTGCAGTCAACTTGATTTATGAGAAACTGGACAAATAAAACAAAAAAACAAATAATTCCAAATGGCATCAAAAAAGGGCAAAATTACAATTCAGTTGAAGTTGCACTATGTTTCTAGTATTTGAGGTTTGAGTTATTTTTTTATCCTTAAATGTTAGGCTAAGGCGTTTCCTGATTATTCCGTTTGACTCACAGATAAATACATTTAGTCCTATTATGTATAGACTTTTAAAAAAAAGCAGAGACAAGCAACTGAAGCGAAACACAGAAGCAGCATTTACCAAAGAGTCTGAGTGCAATCATTTCCAGCTGAGCCTCATTCAGACCACGTTTAGTGGCAGAGAGAAACTGCCAGCTCAACATCTCTCCAAATTGCGGCCAAGGGGCTGCAGGAGTGTTGGCAAAGAACATGACGTCCTGGAGAAACAGATGCACATACACACAAAATTAGTTTCTAATATCTTCTGATAAAACAGCGTAATTGCAAAATGCTCCACGTTGTGTGTCAGTCATGGGGATCTGTCACCTTGGTGTCCAGACTGAGCATATTGAACCAGAGGACAGATGCGCAGGCGCTCTGCTGCTGGCTGGAGTTGGAAATGATGACCACTGGGATGGAGGAGGCCTAGGTTGGGTGCCAGGGACAAACAACTGTTATTTAGGTCATATTTTCATAATCAAGACAATAAGAACAATCATATAAAGCTTAATTTTTATACAGAGCACATGCAGGTTAATGACATTTTCGTAAAGCCAGCTAAGAAATAATTCTACCTGCAACTCAACTGACACGCCTTTCAGCTCAAACACAGTGTTGAAGTAGATGATGTGCAGCTCCTCTGTGACACTGAAAGAAATCTGTTAACCCCACAACACACACACACACACACACACACACACACACACACACAGATCATTATTTTGTTGCTCACATCTTCTTGAATTATGACGTACTGAATTAAATTGTGGGTAAAGATTATATCTTCAGGATTGCCAAAGTCGACTCACATCACTGACTCCTTTGCCACCACCTCCAGACTTCTGCTCCCTCAGAGTCTGCACACAAAACAACACAAAATAAGTCAAGCAACAACATTACCACCTGAAATTAAAGACTGACTATTGCTATTTGAATTTCTCGTCTTTTAATCGCCTCAGTTGAGCTGCTGGAGACTGCTTTATCGTTGTACTTGTCAACGAAGTATGTGACAGGATTTAACCTTCAGATGTTGCAGTTGTGCTGATGGCTTTATATCTTATTGTTGAGAAGGGTTTCCACATTTGTCATGTCATTTTTTTTTCTCTTTTTAAGTCATTATCACTCACAAGATGTCTGAAGTCGGCCACCATGCCTCCACTCTGGCTCTCTGCCATGTTTAAGGCCTTTGTGTTGGTCCCCAGGATATTAAAACGTCGGTATCTACAAACATACCAGGTTTAATAAAAACAAAGTCACATCATGGCAAAAGGTATAAAAGTTATGCTATAATTACTACTTCATGTGAAAGCTTAAGTTCTATAAATCAACTACTCACCCTTTGATCTGAGGAGCCTCCCTAATTTCAAGGGGGAGGAAAAACAGACCACAAAACATTATCATTTATTGTCTGAAGTCAAGAAGGCTACCAGTTTGCAGTGAGTGTAGTAAAAGTAACTCTTACCTGTCCATGGAAACATTCACTTTCATGGAGTGGTTCAGCTCAGGGAACTTCACAAGAAGCCTGAAAATACCAAGTTGAGTGTGAGATTTTAGAACTTTGAAAATATGAGACTGTTTTCTACTGACATGTTTTAAATCATAACAGTTTAATGACTTAAATTACACTGCATGAGTTGTGTGAGAGCTTGTAAATGGATGTTTTGCTTTTGTTTAACACCATCCCTGTTTACTTTAATTCATGAGGAATGTTTGGATTCTCAGTTAATTATGGAAGCATGTGAGAAAAAGTTTTCCTCATGAATTCAAGGTAACACACGGTGAGTAACTGTAATACAAATGTTTTTTTTGCTGGTTGAAATATTCCTTTAAGTTAGGGTGCAAAGTCCACACTAAACAATACATTAAAACTAGTTAGTTTGATCGGAAAGCTGTGTCGATGTTTGGTTCCACCACGGAGACGTCAACTTCTTAGCAACTGTGATGTAAAGACCACACTAACCATTACATTTTCATTTCCACATGGCCAATCAGGGAAAAGCCCTACTCTCTCCAACAGCTATAAATATCTGACATTAATCACCAAAGAACAACAAAAAGGTACGTAAATGACAACAAAACATTATGATCAGTTATTAACTGTACAACCTTAACCTACAGCTAATGCAGAACAACAACAGTGACATCGAGTGGTGAAACTGTCAATTACAGTCTTTTAATCGAGCAGGTGAAATTGTAAAGTTATAACACGTAAATAATGATAGCCTGCACTGAAAAACTGTTATTAATCAGTAGTTGTTTATTAGAAAGTTATCTACCCTGATATATTTGCTTGCCAATGCCACATAGTATATATTCATATGCAATTGCCCACTTACTTATAAGTATTATCTTATGTGTGTGCCCTTGATTCTGCATGTTTACAGACAAACCCACTCAATTTTAAGCATTTCTTTTTTAAGAATAAAAGGCACACATTGCCTACTTTTCATCCTCCAAGTTATTCCACCTTTCAAAACAATGCACCATGACAACCGCGGTTTTACTGAGGACTTTACACCTACCAAAGGGTTAGGTGTAAGACATCAGTTGTAACTTCTGCCTACGTTTCAACTATTTCAGCTGGTGCAACCCTTAAAATGTTAGTAGCACTTAAACTCTGACATAAGTTTGAAAGTAATTTCTAACTAGGCTACATCTGAAATTATGCAATGCTGGTTCAACCTATCAATGTCCTCCTTATTATCCTCAGATAAGTTCAGAACTGCTGTAATGTTTATGTGGTGAACTACAATCCTCTACAGCCCAAAATAAATGAGTTCAGGTGGGTTAAGCTTAACAACAACCTTGTGTTTTGGTCTGTTTGTGTCAGTGATCCAACATGCTATCACTCTAATGCTGATGACCACATCAAAATGATCAGTGTGTAACCAGAAAAGTCTGTACATATAGATTATGTCACAAACATGTACTAAAACTGAATTCAGATAAATACACAGCATTGCGGTGATTGTCTTGACTGGCACACTGACCTGGTCTTGACAGAGAACTGTACGTTTGTGCGGAGCACCAGTGGTCCTTTCCCCTGAGGCATGGCTGGCTGAGACTCAACCACAAAGGAACTTCAAGAAAAGGTAAAACAAAAATGTCAGGAAATTTTACAAGGAAACCATGAGAGAGCAAGGGGGTGTAAGACAGTGTGTCCAGGAAGACAGACCTCTTGAGTAAGTCTTTTAGAAGAGTATCTGCTCTCTTCTGCAGCACAGGTTTTTGGGCCTTCACAGGGTCGTTGTCATAGGACACTTTTCCTACCAGCTCGTCCAGCTTACCAAGAAACTCTCGCACCTGGAACAGACACTCTGCCACACAGGTGAACCTGCAGAACAAGAGCAAAAGAGCAAACATGATTATGTTCACACAAGTCTTATAAAAGGGGAAAAATTTCAACCTTGCGGGTGTTTGCCTTTGCCAATGAGTCAAGTTGCAGTTTATATCCGTGTCTTTGCAGACCCATGTGTTACCATTACAGTAAACATGAATGCTTCAAATATGGAGCTTGTTGCAAAGAAGCTACAAATTCTAAAAAGTCGATGTTTCACACACATCTCTCCCCTGGCAGCACAGATCTATACAATCAGCACGATTTGAAGGTGGGCATCCAAGACTAGAGTCAACAATTCAGTATCTGATTGAATGTCTCGCCTTTTGTTCCTGAGTGGTGGCCAGAAAAGTGTTTTTGCACAACACTTCACAGTGAAGCTGACCTTCAACTTTTTGGATATAAAATGTAAGTGGAAATTTGGACTAAATTTGAGGGAATTCTCTCAAGATGTTCCTGTCCTGAGATAACATTAAAATAACAACAGAAAAAAAACAAACAGAAAAATCCAACAAAAAAAGACCATGGATGTGAGACAGTAATAGTGGTGGTGATTCCGGGAAAGTCTCAAATTCCAGCTATAAAACAGCAGTCTGTTCTCCAGCCTCGCACTTAATTTCCAGAGGGATTATTGATCTAACTTTTACAGTAAATGCCAAAGATTAAAACTAATGCAGAGCAACTGGACATGAACATACCACTTCTCCAGTTGATCCAGACAAACATTGTCTGGAGCACCAATGCAGGATTTCTGCTGCCTCCTCTGCCACTCCACCAGCTCCTTATTCACCAGCGTGTTGATCAGGTCATCAGTTCTGTCCAGGAGCTTACTGAGGTCTGTCAGTGTGCTCTAAGAAGAGGATTGTATGAGACAAAAATAAATAAATAATTAGGAAAATAATTTGACTCAGGAGATGAGGGTCTTACTTCAGAATACTGATAGCTTCATACCTTTCTACATTCATTCAGTCTGTTGACAAGTAGCTGAAGGACTTTCATCTGTTCTTTCTTCACAGCTTCATCCACCACAGCTGCATAAAAGTTTCCACAGTGGGGTCACAGTTTCCATATAAGACAGATCAAACACAAAGGAGAACATTTAGCTGTGATTCAGGCCATTTATTACTCATCCTGTCACAACAGGCAAATATGACCAGATATTTTTAATTTGCTTGCCTTCCATCTTGTGGGTTTGGTATTTAAAGTCAAACTCATCTTGCTGTTCCTCCAGACATAGCATTGTATGTTCCATGCACTGTAGTCAAGAGAAAAAATAATGGATGAACTGCAACATCTTTCATCTATGAGGCACGACATAATATCATAAAGCAAAATTAATCTGCACCTGCACTTCATTCCTGAGGCCAGCCATTTTACGTTCAAGGTCCTGCTGGCTGCTTGTCTCCATGGCTTCCTGCTCTACATGCAAAAACTGGACCTGAGATAAAGCAAATGAGAGGGAGGAGCAGGTTTAGAGATTAAGAGTCATTCACGTGATGCTGTTGTTGCAGTGCCAAGAATAAGTGAGAGTCAAATTGGCTGCTGCTTTCTAGCCCACACGCTGAGTCTGGTAGTTTGTCTTCAGTACATGTGGAGCTTTCTAAATAACTGCAAATACATTTTTCAGAAGAGTTTAAACCCGCAAAACATATAATGGAAATTCACAATGTACACCTTGAACATATCCTTTGTAAACTTGGCTTTAAATATTTAAGAGTTTTGATTTGAGTCAGAATACTGCAGACAAGCAGCACATGCACTTTTGGGGGATGACCATTGAGTCATATGAGTCATACAAAAAAAAAAAAAAAAAAAATACCCAGTGACAACTTCCATTTTCAAGAGCAGTATGTGTGTAACTATTTATATACCCAAGCTGTTTTCATGAAATGTTTTATGTGCAGCAGGGTGTTTCCTTTCCATTACGTGCGATAAGTTTATGAAATGTTGCCCCAACCTGTTCAGCCAGATCGGCACTCTGCAGGATTTCCCTCTCTTTCTCTAAAAACCACAGGACTGTGTTTGCCAAGGCACATGGTTCCTCCAGGTAGCTCTGTCAGTGGGGAGAGATCAGATGGAAAACCGAGTCAGAGTTAAATACTTAAAATTATTATCACAGATAGGACAACAGGAGCCAAAAAAAAATGTTGACTTGAAGAAAGACACAAAATGTCTTTTCTGATTATTTACACCCTGATGAAGACTCTAGTCGAAACACGGTGGTTTATCCATGTATGAATAAAGAATTTTTAACTACAGTCAGAGTGCCTCAGATGCGTTTTTGGATTGTCTGCCTGTACCATGGACCTACACTGAGTGAGCTGGCCAGTCGTTGAATGCTGACTGTACTTACAATAAGGAATAGGATGAAACTCAAAATCTTTTCCTTGACTCAAGCAACATGCAAACATGCATTCACCAACCACACTAATAAGTGTGAAGTCTGATGGGAACTATTGTGGTCTTCATATTTACTGTAAATATTTCCTGTTTAAAATAAAAATGTCACCCAATGGTGCTTTTATTTTTCCACATATCCCCTCCGCACAAACCTGAAAGTTCTGTTTATAGCGCCTGATGTTGTGCTGCAGTAAGAATGACTCCTCCTGGACAAAGCGGCTGTGTTGGATATCCAGATTTTCCAGCAGGACCTGGAACAACACCTTAGCGAAGTCATAGTCCCGTGCTGCTCGTTGCCTGAAGGACACAAACCAAGTCTCAGCTTGTAGAGTATTTCACAAACAGGGTAATTAACTCCAATATTTGAATGATATTGTGTGGGTTAAATGATATCAGGTATAAAACAGATGCCATACCACTCCTGCTTCTCTATCCAGGCTGCCAGGTAATGCCTTACATCCATGGGCAGAGCATCCCTGTCATAGAGCTCGTGTAGCTGCTGTGTGTAGGCAGCAGGAAGCTGCCTCAGTCTCTCCCACTGAGCCATCCTGAGGTCGATCAGGGAAACACCAGCATGCACACAAACAGCAAACCACATTAAATGCCTGTCACAGCGCCATTACATTTAAATATGACGTGTTCATGAGTGTCTGTAATCAACAGTTCAAGAAGCAAAGTGCAGACTCTACAAAAGAAATGACCTGTGACTGCTGACTACATGTTATTGTATGACATGTAATAACTGTACATTGTGTCTTTTTAATAAGCCGTTAAAAGTTGAATTGGTTGTCTTGGACGAGTCAAACGCGCAGACAGGCCCGACACATTAGTAACAACACATTTACTCACCTTACTTTCCGCTGTCAGTCCGACTCTTTAATGTCTTAGTAACGTTAACTAGCTAACAGTAATTTAAACCAGGCGCATAGCTAACATTAGCTCTTGTATTTCGCGTTACTAGCCAGCTGTGGCTGCTACTGGACGTTGGTAACACAAAACAACTTCGACAAGTATGCAGGCGTGTGAATGTTATTTCCTTCCTCTGTTTTTACTGAGTTATCTGTTTCATTGGATCTCTGCTCATCCCTCCCAAATGGTTCTTCCAGTGCCAACCGCAGGCGCCATTTTGGCTCAAACAAAACTGCCATTAAAGCACTGAATAGCCGAAATGTCCGACACAGGCCACACAGTTTCTTCGACAGAGCAGAGTCAACAGCTCATTGGTCGAGCCGGACAGAGGACAGCTGACACAGTTGGTGCAGCTTCATGTCAGTCTGCAGTGAAGGGGAGGGGAGGACAAAATAGAAACTTACGGCCCTGTCTGAAAATTTCCCGAGAAATGATGGTGTGAAAGTGTTGAGGCGAGCACGTGACGTGACGCACTGCTTCCGAATAAGTGAAAAACCAAACAGGTGGTGAATCACTGATGGTCTGTTCAGAGTGAAACACTACTGTGTAGTAACATACATATCAATGAATCATATTCTATATTAAGGTTAATATTTGTATTCACAATTCAAAATAAAGGGGAAATAAAGTATATATA